CAAAGAGCCCGAAAAACCCAGAACAACCAGTTGACCCAGTGCTTTTGTTAACTGAAAAATGAATTATTCATATGTCCATAGAAAACATAAACTGTTATATGAGAGGGAAAAACCCTCCAATAATCTTCAATCAGATAGAGACTCAAAATGGAAGCGTTGGAGTAGAAGCTGGGGAACTTAGATGAACTCAAACTTGACAGCTTTGCAAGTATCTACTGGTCAAATTGTGACATTCTCCCAACTATTATCAGAGTGGTGCTATGAGACAGTAAAACAGGCCATTTGTTTCTCCTGCCTAGAAAAGGGGTGGGAAATAGCGGTTCTCTTAATTTTTTTTACCTGTAACATCTACCAGCCTTAGAGCAAAGCCAGGAGTGAGGGCAAATGGGAGTTGCAATCTAAACTATTGGGAGGGCCAGAGATGCCCTCCCCTCTCCTAGAAGTTCCATAAACAATGCAGAAAGGATGCTCTCTGGGACCCTGCTGTTGTCTCTTCCAGTTTTAGCTTGCTGTTCTCTTAAACTCAGAATTGGTTATGGGATTAAACAATAAAATGACATTTCCCTTTAAAAGTTTCCTGCAGGGCGACCATTTGTATTCTCAGGGGCCAATGTATTCTTAGGTCAACAGGATAAGCATGATACTTTTTACCATTATGGCCAAGCTCCATAATAAAATATGGTATCTGCCAATGGGAAAGGTATTGGAGGTGATCAGCTGGATGTCTGAGGAGCTATTGTGCTTCCTTAGAACATCCTCTTTGTCTTTCTGTGAAGCATTTGGGATAGCAAGGCAGTAACAGTGGTAGGAATAATATGTGGAATTACATCTGGATTCCTGACAAAAAATGTCTGGGTTTTTTTTACACCTTGATTAAAATTTGATTAGGCAAAGTTGCTTATTCCCCTTTTGGATGCACACCTTCACATGGTGAGAGAGTTTGTGTGTATCAGTGAAGCAAGAGCAATGTTGTCAGGAGGCTAGACCCCATTATGAGCCTGGACTCCTAGCAGGATTGCCCAAGTTAAAATGTTCGCAGCTTCTGGAAGGTGGCTACTGGGCAGTAGTATCAACGTTACCATAATCCAAGTCTATGGTCCAGCTACAGATGTTGAAGAAGATGAAATGCAAAGCTTTTATGCACGCATTCAGGAAGAAATTGACCACATACCAAAACAGGACATGATCATAATTGTAGGTGACTGAAACTGAATAGTAGGAAACAAGGCAAAACCAAATGTCAATGGAAAATTTGGTCTAAGGATCAGAAACAAAGCAGGAGAACAACTCATATAGTCCAGCAAGCAACCTGACAGACAACTGTACACATGGATATCACCAGATGGACAATATAGAAATCAAATAATCTATGTAATTGGAATGAGGAGACGGAGAAGCTGTATTTTGTCTTCCAGAACATGTCCAGGAGCAAATTGTGGTACTGATCATGAACTGTTAATATCAAACATAAGAGTAAAGCTGAAGAGTGCTGAAAGAATCTTAGTGCTTAAATATACCTTAGAAAATATTTCTGATGAATTTAAAGCCCGTATAAAAACAGATTTACATTACTACATTCAATTGACGAAGAACAAAAAAACAAACAAACAAAAAACAAACAAACAAAACTGTGGGTTGAAACCAGACATGTTATTAGGAGACAAAGAGAACTATTATAATGGCCAGTGTGAAGAAATAAAAGGGAACAACAAGGTTTTTTTTTTTTTCTAGAGAATTAGAAAGGAAGGAAGGGGTTAATATAGAAATAAGGAAGTAGAGGGAGGAGTCAGGTGGAAGTGTTAAAGCATTCCAAGAGTTCAGGCCCTAGTTTTTGTCCAACATGAGTCCTCTTGGGAAAGGGAGAAAGGAAGGGAACAAAATGAACAAATGAACAATATAAGAACAAACAAATGACAAAAATGGAATAATTAGAAGACTGGTACCAACCAGCAATGCTTCTGAAGATGATTATACAGGATATCAAACATGCACTGAATAAATGCCATGCGTGTGGAAGGAAGCATGTGGAAGAAATTTGAAGATACAAGGAAGGAAGGAAGGAAGGAAGGAAGGAAGGAAGGAAGGAAGGAAGGAAGGAAGG